GCTTATATTATATCCCTTGCTACATTCCCTATTGGCGCATTTGCATAGAAATTTCGTCAGATTCCTCAGTCCTCTTCACTCTCTACACCTTCTCTTCATCAATCGACGATTCACCGCCGTGATTCCCTTTCTTCCCCGTGTCACGTAAGCTCTAGGTTTCTTCTTTGCTCTGTTTTCGCAGTGAAATCTCGCAATTTGTTTCGTGTGTCTTCTGGGCATTTAACGCTTTACTCACTTCGTCTGTATAATATATGGATTTCGTTCGGTTCATTGTCATGCATGCGTGAATCCCCTTTCAGATTCTGTAAATCCTGTATCGATTTGCTCGATCTGATGTTAAGCGGTTTCTTCTGGTCTAGGGATTTCGATTTTATCGAGTTAGTTTGCTACAAATTGAGTCTCTTTTGGGGCTTTACCCACAAATGCATCATCAGGCTTATCGGAAATTTTGCTGCATTAACTGTCCAGTGAAGTCAAAAAAGTATTTCGATATCTTACAGATTCAAATATAATTGCTGTGACATACTCAGTTTTAACTTTTAAGTCAAAAGTATTTCGATTTCTTAGAGATTGCTTGTTTGGTGAATCTCTTGATTGCTTATTTCAATTGAAGTTCCTATCTCAAGATATGTTTCAACTGTGTTCCAGGTAAAGCAGTGTAGGATGGCTAATTCATCTGATGAAGAGGCTGAGATCAGCGAGTCAGAGATTGATGATTATTCTGAAACACCGTACCTGCTATTGCAGAACGGGAAATACAAGGTTAAGGTGAATGGAATTCTGAGATGCCCGTTTTGTTCAGGCAAGAAAAAGCAAGATTACAAGTACAAGGAGTTAATGGCACATGCTACTGGAGTTTCCAAAGGATCTGCTAACAGAAGTGCCATACAGAAGGCGAATCATCTCGCTCTGGCAAAGTATTTAGAGAATGAGCTTGCTGGTGATGCAGAGCCTGCTCCACGCCCTCCGGTTCCTCAGTTAAACGAGCCAGAAACCAGACCGGGTGAAATATATGTCTGGCCATGGATGGGGATTGTCATTAATCCTTTGAAAGAAAATGATGACAAGGAACTTCTACTGGATTCAGCTTATTGGTTGAAGAGGCTTTCTAGATTCAAGCCTGTTGAGGTGAATGCCTTTTGGGTTGAAGAAGGTTCGGTTGTTGGGGTTATTGCTAAGTTTAAGAGCGACTGGAGTGGGTTTGCGAGTGCAACAGAGCTTGAGAAGGAATTTGAGAATGAAGGTTGCAGCAAAAAGGAGTGGACAGAGAAGAGAGGAGATTCAGAGTCCAAGGCCTATGGTTGGTGTGCACGTGAAGAAGACTATAACTCTGAAGGGCCAATAGGTGAATACCTTTCCAAGGAGGGACAGCTAAAAACCGTGTCTGATATTTCTAAAGAAAAAGCTCAGGATAGAAACAATGTTCTGGAAGAACTTTCAAATATAATTGCTATGACAAACGAAGATCTGAACAGAGTCCAATACAGTTACAACAAAACAGCAATGTCACTACAGAGGGTCCTATACGAGAAAAGAAACTTGCACGAAGCTTATGCAAACGGTTCTTACTGAAACACTGATATGTTTAAGATTCAGATAGCATGTGTTTGGGTATCTGACTATTGTTTTTATTTTATCTCGTCAGAAACAAAGAAGATGCAGCAGATGTCACTTCTCAATATCAGGAAAATCCTAGAAGACAAAGAGATACTAAGCAATGAAGTGGACAAAAAGTTGCGGAAAATGCAGGAATGGTCCAAAGAGTTGGACAAAAAAGAAGCACTAACTGAACTGGAGAGACAAAAGCTTGATGAAGAGAAGAAAAAGGTAACATCCATAGTCAGTATGATACATAGGAAAAATGAGTTTGTGAATATGTTTGCATTTATCTTTTCAGAGACCAACGATCATTTTATGTTTTCTTGCTTTGGCAGAGTGATTCTATGAACATTTCCCTCCTGATGGCCCACCGTGAGCAAACAAAGGCTGATGAGAGCGTGTTGAGACTTGTAGAAGAGCATAAGGTATATTTCTAGTACACAATTCAAACTGTATAACAAGTTAATCCCAAAGTCGAGGGAAAAAAGCCTTCCCTCATTTGTGTCTTGATTTTGAAACTCTCTCCTTCGTATACTCCAGAGGCAAAAAGAAGAGGCTTTGAACAAGATCCTTCAGCTTGAGACGCAGCTGGACACCAAACAGACACTGGAAATGGAGATTCAAGAGCTGAAAGGCAAATTGCAAGTTATGAAGCATTTGGGGGATGATGATAATGGGGCGGTCACTCTGAAAATGAAGGACTTGAATGATGAGTTGGAGGACAAGAAGGGTGAGTTAGAAGGGCTAGAACAGATGAACTCAGTCCTGATGACAAAAGAACGTCAAAGCAATGACGAAATACAAAAAGCGCGGAAACGGTTGATTTCGGTACATATTTCTGATGCTTTAGTGTTTTTGGATACTGATGCGCTTGTATTTTACAATTACGTAGCGTTTTAGAACTAAATGTTTCTGAAGAATTGTTTTTTCCATGTCTGAAATGCCACAGCATGGTCAAACAATAGTCTATTGGATATCTTCAGTTCTTAATTGGACCACCAAGTTGAATGAAATGGGGTGACTTCTCATCTGATTAATATATGGTCAGTTGACTGATGTAGGATGTGTTAAAAATGACAGATATTCCATTGTCTTGTCTATAAAATCTGATACGGCCTGTACTAACGAACAAAAGTTGGACCAGTCTGTGAGTGATTAGTTTTAAAGTTGGACCAAGCTGTGAGTGATTAGTTGTTTCCTATGTTGTTGGCGTCTTGAAAGCTCTTTTCTTCAGGGTTTGACAGGACTGTTGGGTGCCCAAACTGACATCGGGGTGAAAAGGATGGGTGAACTTGATGAGACGCCCTTCCTGAATGTTTGCAAGCGGAGATATTCCGCAAATGAAGCTGCGGTTGAAGCTGCCACCCTTTGCTCTACATGGCAGGAGAACGTCAAGAATTCATCTTGGCATCCGTTCAAACTTGAAAGAACCGGTGACAAGGAGCAGGTATGATCTTTCCCACGTTCGCTATCCTATTTTACGAGTCTCTATCTTACTGAATTACTGATATAGGTTGAAGCCCTTTTTGGACACCCACATTTTTAGTCAAATATGTAGGAGAAACTTGTGATTCTGTGAATGTTGATACTTGTATCTATATGTTGGTACAAGTGTTCTGTGAGTTAGCTGTAATGGTGTTAGATGGTTATGGTTGCAGGAAGTGGTAAACGAAGAGGATGAGCAGCTGAAGAAGCTTAAAGGAGAGTGGGGAGAAGGGGTGCATAACGCAGTTAAAACAGCCCTCGAGGAGATGAATGAGTATAATCCAAGTGGCGGCACCACAACCCTAGAGCTTTGGAACTTCAAAGAAGGAAGGAAAGCAACTTTAAAGGAAGTGATTAGTTTCATTTCGAATGACATCAAAACTCTGAAACGCAAAAGAACCTGAAGGTATGCTTTATCTTCTTTAGTTGAAAAGGTCTTCTTGTAGAGCTTATATATGTAATGTGCTGGTTTAAATTTACATACACTCCATAACGATAGAACCTTGTAAAGGCTTGATAAGGTTTAGGCTAAAAGCTCTTCAACAAATACTGCAGATCTCATTTGTTGAAATCCAGTTGAAGGAAAATGATCTGGATTTTGGTCTTTCACCATTTTGATTTGAACTGAAGAATCCATTGGTCTTGTTTTACATTGGTTGCAGGATGGAGGAGTAGA